CACACACTCTCACACACACACACACACACACACACACACACACACACACACGAGTGTTAGTGTGGTTCTCTGTTCCTCCTGCAGGGGGCACTCCGTCTACGGCTCGTCCTGAATCCCGCTGTTACACGTGAGTTTAGACGCCAGTTTTCCATATTTACTGTCGTCTGATTGCGGCTGCACTTTATCCGTACATCTTTTGCCTGAAATACACAAACACAGTCCCATTATATCCTGAACTCTTGACGGCTCGATCGCTGGGCCGCTGTCAGGAGTTATCGGGATACCTGGAATCTGGCCCATTGAAATGAACACGCGGTCCATCTTGATTCTGGGACGAGCTCTCGCGATTAGAAACACTCCAGTAAACGCCAGCAGACACCTGAGTGACACACACACATCTTAAACCGCAAACACACAGGCAAATATTGTTCTAAATTATATTAATCTTTGAGAAATGCTCACCCGATCACAAACATGATGATGTATATCAAAGATAAACCATAAAATTCTTCATAAAATAAAATGCCTAGAAATACAAAAATATTCTGTTAGGCAGTTTAGAAGATGGGATAGGTGAGCTGCAGGTGACTTCCACGGATCGTCTCTGTGATCATTCCTGAAACTGCTTTCACCGAGATCACCGTCACCGAAGCTGCAACAAACACACTTTTACTGATCTCTTCATCATGACAGTTATGAAACGGTCTCACACCCAGACCAGAATCTGTTCTTACCAAGTAACGCCACCAAAATCATCATGATCACAATGTGTTTTATGTTCCTGCACTTGTACAAATACATCAGGATAGCGAAGAGAATCATTTCAAACATCTGCAGAGAGACAGACAGATAAAAGATTCGTTCTGAAGAACCACATCATTTATACGTGATTCATTGACGTTCAAGCCGGCCGAGGACTTTATTTCACCTTATGTTTGTGGATCTCTAGGTGTCACTTTACTAATGGCCTCTTCTGTAAAATGTGATGGGTTAGCTGTACTGTAACTTGGTCAAGATTGAACAGACTCACGAAGTAAATCAGGAAGGTCCAGCTGACCAGCGAGCGCTCCACCATGTTGGCCGTGACGTGAGGCGATGAATGAGGGGCGAATGTCACCAGAAAGTAGGTTCCGGTCAGCGCTAAAGCACCTCCTGCCAACAAAACACCTTCATTACAAGAACTCTGAGGGAAGTTGATTGAAACGTGTTCATGTTACATGATGATGCGGTTTGTGGACGGCTGGTGTCTCATTTCCTACTGATTCAAGCTGAAGCGCTCTTCAGCAGACGCTCAAGACTCGTGCTTTTCTGTCACACTGAATTTATTCAGTCTGGACCCAATGAGCTTTAGTCAACAACAACAACAAATAATATGAATTTAACTAATAATAATCTCCTGATTTCTGGAGGAATGATTTCATATATGTGACCCTGGAGCACAAAACCATAACCATATTTGTAGCAATAGCCAACAATACAATGTATGGGTCAAAATTATAGATTTTTCTTTTATGCCAAAAATCATTAGGATATTAAGTAAAGCTCATGTTCCATGAAGATATTTTGTAAATTTATTACTGTAAATATATCAAAACTTCATTTTTGATTAGTAATATGCATTGCTAAGAACTTAATTTGGACAACTTTAAAGATGATTTTCTCAATATTTAGATTTTTTTGCTCCCTCAGATTCCAGATTTTCAAATAGTTGTATCTCAGCCAAATATTGTCCTATCCTAACAAACCATGCATCAAAGGAAAGATTATTATTCAGCTTTCAGATGATATATAAATCTCACTTTCATCCCTGTAGCTCAATACTAACTGGTTGAACTGACGATTTTACTGACTTGCTTTATATATAATATTATTTTAGTTTAATTTTTTCTATACAACAAGAGAAGACTAGGAAAAAGTTTACAAGATCTTCATTATGAGATGTAAGAAGGACTCTAATCTCACCGAGGATATCTGAAGCACGTAACGTTTCCTTGAGGAACACCACAGAAATGACGGCACTCGCTGAAAGAGAGACAAACAGCACCAACTTTACATGCTTCTTAACATCAGTCAAAGAGTAAAATACTGACTCTTGAACTACAGAACTGCAGCCTTTAGACCTGTGTCGTGTTTTAATGAACGGAGGGAAGGTCTTACCGATGACAGACACAGAGCCAAGAGGAGCGATGAGTGACGCCGGAGCGAATCCATACGCAGCGAAGTTCCCCAGCTCCCCCAAACCCATCAGCAGGATCCCGCACCACCACAGACGGCTGGTGTAGTACGGCTTAGTCCCTCGCTGCGACTGCCGCACATGCGTGTATTTCTGCACAAACACCAGCAACACTACCACAGTTTAGCAGAGGACCTCTAAACAGCAAACACACAGCACTGAAACACTGACAGAGCATTTGTGTGTGTCCTCGTGTGAGCGAGCTGAGCTTCACCTGGATATTCAAGGAGATGCTGATGAGAAAGTTTCCACATACTGCGATGCAGATCCCCACGATAAAAACCTACGAACACAAAACATCAGCTCAGGGGCGGCACTAGTGTGGGGAAGATGGGACAGATCCTGTTCCTCATCCCTAAAACACCATTGGCAGAATTATTTCTCCAGGACCAACAAGGATGATTCAAGAACATGAGCTACATGTGCAAAATCAGCAACACCCAGAAAAGTGTAGTGTGTGCTAAAGTAAAACTCTACAGATGTTTAGCTGAAAAAACTCAGAACTGAATTCTCAGGTGTAGTCGCTGTAGTTTTAGTTTAGTTTCAGATTAGAGGTCGCAGTCACTGTAGATTGAGTTAGTTTCAGATTAGAGGTCGCGGTGGCTGTAGTTTTAGTTTAGTTTCAGATTAGAGATGGCTGTAGTTTTAGTTTAGTTTCAGATTAGAGATGGCTGTAGTTTTAGTTTAGTTTCAGATTAGAGATGGCTGTAGTTTTAGTTTAGTTTCAGATTAGAGATGGCTGTAGTTTTAGTTTAGTTTCAGATTAGAGATGGCTGTAGTTTTAGTTTAGTTTCAGATTAGAGATGGCTGTAGTTTTAGTTTAGTTTCAGATTAGAGATGGCTGTAGTTTTAGTTTAGTTTCAGATTAGAGATGGCTGTAGTTTTAGTTTAGTTTCAGATTAGAGATGGCTGTAGTTTTAGTTTAGTTTCAGATTAGAGATGGCTGTAGTTTTAGTTTAGTTTCAGATTAGAGATGGCTGTAGTTTTAGTTTAGTTTCAGATTAGAGATGGCTGTAGTTTTAGTTTAGTTTCAGATTAGAGATGGCTGTAGTTTTAGTTTAGTTTCAGATTAGAGATGGCTGTAGTTTTAGTTTAGTTTCAGATTAGAGATGGCTGTAGTTTTAGTTTAGTTTCAGATTAGAGATGGCTGTAGTTTTAGTTTAGTTTCAGATTAGAGATGGCTGTAGTTTTAGTTTAGTTTCAGATTAGAGATGGCTGTAGTTTTAGTTTAGTTTCAGATTAGAGATGGCTGTAGTTTTAGTTTAGTTTCAGATTAGAGATGGCTGTAGTTTTAGTTTAGTTTCAGATTAGAGATGGCTGTAGTTTTAGTTTAGTTTCAGATTAGAGATGGCTGTAGTTTTAGTTTAGTTTCAGATTAGAGATGGCTGTAGTTTTAGTTTAGTTTCAGATTAGAGATGGCTGTAGTTTTAGTTTAGTTTCAGATTAGAGATGGCTGTAGTTTTAGTTTAGTTTCAGATTAGAGATGGCTGTAGTTTTAGTTTAGTTTCAGATTAGAGATGGCTGTAGTTTTAGTTTAGTTTCAGATTAGAGATGGCTGTAGTTTTAGTTTAGTTTCAGATTAGAGATGGCTGTAGTTTTAGTTTAGTTTCAGATTAGAGATGGCTGTAGTTTTAGTTTAGTTTCAGATTAGAGATGGCTGTAGTTTTAGTTTAGTTTCAGATTAGAGATGGCTGTAGTTTTAGTTTAGTTTCAGATTAGAGATGGCTGTAGTTTTAGTTTAGTTTCAGATTAGAGATGGCTGTAGTTTTAGTTTAGTTTCAGATTAGAGATGGCTGTAGTTTTAGTTTAGTTTCAGATTAGAGATGGCTGTAGTTTTAGTTTAGTTTCAGATTAGAGGTCGCGGTGGCTGTAGTTTTAGTTTAGTTTCAGATTAGAGATTGCAGTAGTTTTAGTTTAGTTTCAGATTAGAGGTCGCAGTCACTGTAGTTTTAGTTTAGTTTCAGATTAGACGTAGCGGTGGCTGTAGTTTTAGTTTAGTTTCAGATTAGAGGTAGCGGTGGCTTCAGATTAGAGGTCACGGTAGATTGAGTTTAGTTTCAGATTAGAGGTCGCGGTCGCTGTAGTTTCAGTTTAGTTTTAGATTAGAGGTTGCAGTCACTGTAGATTGAGTTTAGTTTCAGATTAGAGGTTGCAGTCACTGTAGATTGAGTTTAGTTTCAGATTAGAGGTCGCTGTATATTGAGTTTAGTTTCAGATTAGAGGTCGCGGTCGCTGTAGTTTTAGTTTAGTTTTAGATTAGAGGTTGCAGTCACTGTAGATTGAGTTTAGTTTCAGATTAGAGGTCGCTGTAGATTGAGTTTAGTTTCAGATTAGAGGTCACGGTGGCTGTAGTTTTAGTTTAGTTTCAGATTAGAGGTTGCAGTCACTGTAGATTGAGTTTAGTTTCAGATTAGAGGTCGCTGTAGATTGAGTTTAGTTTCAGATTAGAGGTCGCGGTCACTGTAGTTTTAGTTTAGTTTCAGATTAGAGGCTGCAGTCACTGTAGATTGAGTTTAGTTTCAGATTAGAGGTCGCGGTCGCTGTAGTTTTAGTTTAGTTTCAGATTAGAGGTTGCAGTCACTGTAGATTGAGTTTAGTTTCAGATTAGAGGTCGCGGTCGCTGTAGTTTTAGTTTAGTTTTAGATTAGAGGTTGCAGTGGCTGAAAATTGAGTTTAGTTTCAGATTAGAGGTTTCCTCTATTGTTATTTTTGTACCTCCATCCTGGATCTTCACCTGTCGTTCCCACAAGGCATGTAGAGAGTGGATAACCACATTCACAAACACACTGCACCACTAGCAAATAAAAAGAACAACAGATACAAATTCAGCACAGCTGTGGTCATGTTCATCTCTCTGACGTTCTGCTGCTGTTCAGAGCTCTACGATCAGTCTGTTCTACCATTTGTGTACATACATACAGATCAGACAGAGCTTACACATGACATACAACCATGATCTAAAAGAAAAGAAAACTTTACAGGGAATCAAAACCTTCACATTCCTGAAAAGTGTGTAAACACAAATAACATTGACTTTCAGAGTGACAGAAAGAAAACTCTTCAGAACACCTCTATTAACTGAACTTTATTTTCTTCACATTTGCTGATCTAATGACAGATAATACATATTTATATAAATATTCTAATTAATTTTGGACAGTATTGACCTTCTTCATGTCAAATTTCATAAATCTTACAAATCTTAAATCTTAAAAAAAAAGGTTTAGGAAACAACCTGACATCAAACACCAACAGGCAATGAAATAACAAGACTGATAAGCATTGAAAGGCTCAGTCCACACTTATTATGACTATTAACAGCAATATCTTCAACAAAACAAATATGAGCAGAAATACATACAGCTTCTCCGGTACAGGAATGAGAGGCAGTGCTGGGACTTTGTGTGTGTGTGTGTGTGTGTGTGTGTGTGTGTGTGTGTGTGTTCATGCTTACAGGTCTCTTTGTGCAGGGCAGGACAATAGTGTTCTGTGAGTGTGTGTGAGTTGCAGGCGGGGTCAGTCTGTACTGGATGGACAGTAGATCTATTATCTTACATTACAGCACATTCTTGCATGCTAACACTGAGAATGTGTGTTTTAATGTGTGATTGTAAGGTTTACAGTAGCCTAACACAAGTGGCCTTTGAAACATTGACAATTAAAACATAGTGTAGCAACAATCAAGATGGTTTATTATCATGTAAAAGATACAGAAAAGAAAGGCACATTTTTCTGTATATTATTTCCAGAAAAGGCTGCTGTTTAAACTGGGCTCTTCTCAACTTGCTGATGTTTTGATCATCTCAACTGCAGTTCTAGACATTTACATTTATTCATCGATCAAATACTTCTATCCAGACGTTATTTTATGTACTGAAAACCCCATGGCCAAAAAAGCTCCTGAGATGCTTCACCCCAGTTATGATCATGACAGATATCATATATTTACAGTGAGACGCGCTTCTGTTCGAGACTGACGCTGCACTTGCTGTCTGTCGGTAGACGCGCCCATCGCGGATTCTTCTAGACACTGTAGGATATTTTCCAGAGCTGCATTTGAACATTTTGTGTGTTTTGTCTGATGAGATCATTCAGTGTCGTCACTGTCGTGCTGGAATATCGATCGCCTCGCATATAAAACACATCCGTAGAAACGGCGTGTGAATTAGAAACGGTCTCGGAGCGGCATCGCCGCGCTCGGTTTCACCGGGAGGATTCTGTTCGTGATTCGTGCGACAGATGAAAGGTTTCTGTGAGGAAATGAGCGATGAGGATGAATGCATATGTTGATGAGGGGTTTCTCACGTGTGTGTTTGTCTCCAGACTGCAGCTCTTCAGAGACAGACGGAGCTCACAGTGATTGTTCGCTGATCGACCGGTCGGTCATGACATGGGCTCCGGAGGACGGTGCTATTCGCATCAATGTGGGAGGCTTCCGGCGGCGGCTGCTGTCCAAGCGACTCTCTCGGTTCCCCGAGACCAGGCTCGCGCGCCTGCTCCGGTGCCGCTCCAAAGAGTCCATCCTCGAGCTGTGCGACGACTACGACGACTCCGAGAACGAGTTCTACTTCGACCGCAATCCGGCGCTCTTCCCGTACGTTTTACACTTCTACAACACGGGGAGGCTACACGTCATGGATGAGCTCTGCATCTTCTCCTTCAGTCAGGAGATCGAGTACTGGGGCATCGACGAGCTGTTCCTGGACTCGTGCTGCAGCGGCTCCTATCACTGCCGCAGGATGGAGCCCGAGGTGAGCGACTGGGAGGAGAGGAGCGAGGAGGCCAGCACCACCTCCTCCTTCCACGAGATCCTGGACTTCTACAGCGACGCCGGCAAATTTGACAAGCAGCTGCTCGGAAGCGTCCGGCGGAGGATCTGGCTGATGCTGGACAATCCCGGCTACTCGATCCCCAGCCGGCTCATCAGCATCTTCTCCATTCTGGTGGTGCTGGGCTCCATCGCCTCCATGTGCATGAACAGCATGAGCGAGTTCACGCTGCTGGACGCTGATGGAAAGCCCCGCGAGGACCCTCGCTTCGAGGCCGTGGAGCACTTCGGCATCGGCTGGTTCACGCTCGAGCTGCTGGCCAGATTCGCTGTGGCGCCGGACCTCCTGCGTTTCTTCGAGCACCCGCTGAACCTGATCGACCTGGTGTCCATCCTGCCCTTTTACTTGACCCTGCTGATGCACCTGGTGGCGGAGAGTGGCCCGGCGCTGGCGAACCTGGGCCGAGTGGCTCAGGTGCTGAGGCTGATGAGGGTCTTCCGCATCCTGAAGCTGGCGCGTCACTCCACGGGCCTGCGCTCGCTCGGAGCCACACTCAAGAACAGCTACAAAGAGATCGGCCTGCTGCTGCTGTATCTGGCCGTCGGAGTGTCCTTCTTCTCCGTCATGGCCTACACCGTGGAGAAGGAGGACAACGAGGGACTGAACACCATCCCGGCCAGCTGGTGGTGGGCCACGGTCAGCATGACCACCGTGGGATACGGCGACGTGGTTCCCGGCTCCGTCGCGGGAAAACTGACCGCCTCGGCCTGCATACTGGCGGGAATACTGGTCGTGGTGCTTCCGATCACTTTGATATTTAACAAATTCTCTCTGTTTTATAAGAGACAGAAACAGCTGGAGACCGTCATGCGGAGCTGTGACTTCGACGAGGGAATAAAGGAGGCTCCGTCTGTGAATCTGAGGAATTATTATGCTCATAAAGTCAAAACACTGATGGCCAGTCTGTCCAACATGAGCCGCAGTTCACCCAGCGATCACAGTCTAAACGTGTCTCTGCATTAGACGGGAACAGTGTGACGTCAGCGTGGCGTTTGTGTGTGTTTGCATCATGGATCTCGCACCTGATTCTGCTCTTCGTAGCGAGACACGCAAAGCATCTGATAAGTGGTTAAAGTAATGATGTGTGTTTATACAGGCAGGAATGGGACCCTCAATGAATCAACTTCTTCACCTGTGTTTTCTCTCAGCTTTCTCTCCCGTTGCCCAGCATGCACAGCGGCTTCATTTAGTTCCAGGGAACACATGTCTATGTTAATGGAAGCTGTTGCCTCATTGGGTGTTAGCGCTGAATCTCTCCTGGTTGCCACTATATATATATATATATATATATATGTGTGTGTGTGTGTGTGTGTGTGTGTGTGTGTGCAGAGAGTTTTCTGTATCTCTGTTATTCATTAAGGAAAGCAATTGTAGTGAGTAGATTTAATAGTGCTGATACTATTTTGAGAAGCAAGGTCTATGAAGGGTTATTGTCATCCAGGTAAATCTTCCTGTGACAGCAGGCCATCTGAAATAACCTTTGAAACAAATGATTTTCAGTTAAGTTTTGTTGCTTTTGAATGAATTTCACACATCTGTAAGGTAAACCAAATGTTCTATTCTACAGCTATCAGAGGTTATCAGTCAAATTATCATTCTTCTTTTGTTAATATTGCTGTTGTTTAATTTTAATTGTAAATGCAGAATGTGATCCTGGCGGATGGGGTCAGAGGTCGTACATCGTGCTGCACTCAAACAGTATATGGCTCACATGTAAATGTAATATATATATATATGTGTGTGTGTTTTCATGTGGATGTGAGGACAGAATCAGACTCATTACAGAATGTAATAACTTCTGAATCGGGTAATAATGAGCACACGTGTTTGTGACCTGTGTGGATTTGTGACATATTTGTAGCTCATAATTTTTTTCACTTTGAAAATTAATCCTGTTTTTAAGACCACAGATATCTTTTTAGCATTGTGGCACTATTTTCATTAAACATTTACCCCCAAAGTCTTATAACTGTAATGTGGAATAAAGTAAATGTCAATGTTGGATGTACTGCCCTTAATTTATATAACAAATCATTGAAAAAATACTTTTCAGTGAGAAGAATCTAATGAAAACCATCATTTAAATCATGGCAATTACATGACACTTAAGCACATTGTCTGAATGCATTACAGTAATGAAAATGTTTTATTTTCTTTTTTTTTGTTGCATTATGCTAATAATAATAATTTTCAATAATTTTTTTTACTGCTCTTAGTGGAACATGGTTTTGAAAATGGGCTTCATTTTCTAAACAACCAAGGATTTTCCAGAGATTTTCAATCAGGTTTAGATCAGGACTCTGGGCCAGCCGTTTCATTATTTCGATGTTTTCAGCTTCAAGGAACTGCTTTACCCGTTTTGCTGTGTGACAGGAGTATGGTCCTGCATGAAAATTGCTTGCAGATTGTGCGAAGAATGCAGGGAAGGAACTGCATATTGCTGCAGGAGGTTCTGATAAACATTTGCATGCACCCGTAAGACGTCCCCAAACCATGACTCTTTCTCCTCCACCTTTCACTGACTTCTTACGCACTTGGGGTTCAGTCTTTCCCCAGTTTAATGCCAAACAAAATGTTTCCTATTGGACCCAAATAAATTAAACTTGCTTTCATCACTAAAGTGAATATTGGACCAGTCCTCCTCTCTCCACACAACATGCTCCTCAGCAAAGGTGAGTCTAGCCTTTTGATTCTCTCCACTGATGAGAGGTTTGGTCACTGCAGAGTGCATTTTCTATCCGACTGTATGCTGAGACAGATCCTAACCCTGTTCAGCGCTGAACTGGCAAGCAATTCCAGCTGCAGTGTTGAACCGATTGCCCATTGAGAGTCTCCGTATTATCCGGTCCTCTTGTGCATTTGTTTTTCGTGGACGACCAGCCTTTTTGGGGGACTTGAATGAATCGTATCATTGTAAAGATGCAATATTCAAGAAATCACAGATTTGGAACAACAAACCTCTCTTGCTGTGGCTGCTATTGGCCTTCATCTGGACAATCTGCTGTCAGAGGGTCATGGCTCAGCATCTTGAAAAGTCAGTTAAAACTGTAAAGTTAGGCTGTCAGTTAAATAGGGTTTGTCAGATAATTAAGGAAATTAGGACCAGGTGCCAGATTAATACCAATAACTTGGTGGTATCTGTAAGTGTTCTCTCTTTTTTTTCAAAAAAGTTCTTTTTCAAATATTTCATTTAAGTTTTTTATACTGTGCTTCAGTTCTGTTCAATCCTGTTCTATTCTAATCTATTCTATTCTATTCTACTCTATCCTGTTCTGTTTTGTTCTATCCTGTTCTGTCCTGTTCTGCCCTGTCCTGTCCTGTCCTGTTCTATTCTATTCTATTCTATTCTATTCTATTCTATCCTGTTCTATCCTGTTCTGTTCTGTCCTGTCCTGTTCTATTCTATTCTATTCTATTCTATTCTATTCTATTCTATTCTGTTCTGATCTGTTCTGTTCTGTTCTATCCTGTTCTGTCCTGTCCTGTCCTGTCCTATTCTATTCTATTCTGTTCTGTTCTATTCTATGCTATTCTATTCTATCCTGTTCTATTCTGTTCTGTTCTGTTCTATCCTGTTCTGTCCTGTCATGTCCTATTCTATTCTGTTCTGTTCTATTCTATTCTATTCTATTCTATTCTATTCTATTCTATTCTATTCTA